CTAAGCCCTAAAACCCTAAACCCCACACCTGCCGCTGCCACTGCGTGAGGGCCCGGCAAAAGCTCTGACGCCGCTCCTGCCAGGGTGGTCTCTGCTTCTTCGGGGCAGGTGCTCTGTGGGGCAGTTCCGGTTCCGCTTTGGACTTGCGGGGTTTGCCATTCCCGGTTCCGGCAAAGCTGAAACACAAACGGACAACGAATCAGAAGCGAAAACGCAAGGCTGCGGCCGAGCGGAAGGCAACACGGAAACAGAAATGGAAGAGCGGTAAACCCCGTCACTTGCCTACATCCAAACTAACCCTAAACGGATAACAGGAACCCTAAACGACACCCTTAAAGGGAGACCGTCACGCAACCTTCAACCTTGAGGAAGGGAGCTTTCAGCTACAAGCAGAGCACTCGGGGATTCAGAGACTTCGAAACCCGCCCCGTTCAGGTCTTCGGGGTCTTGAGGGCTGTGATCTGATGGGCTTTAGGACTGCGGGACGCCGAACCCTCAAGCACAAACCCACACAAAGCTCCACAAATTCCACGCCAAACCCTCCCTTGGCTCCGGTGGTGGAGATCCTTAAATCGGTGCCTCTACGGCTTTGGGGTTCCGGGACCCAGAGACATCCAGGAACGACTGACACTTGGAGGACATGTGGGAGCCTGCATCAGCAGAACTGTGTCTTTGGATATAGCCCTAAACCCTAAACCCTAGTAGTACCTTGCAGCTACAAGAAGAAGCCCCTGGGAATGCAGGGAATAATATTGGTGAGTTTCCATTTTCAAGGACCGAATTCCGGTTTTGGGGCCTAGGGTTTAGGGAGCGTCGGCATCGGTGTAAGGCTTCTTCAGGGCTTCGTGGGGCTTTGTAACCTAAGGATTTCTAGAGCTTGCTACATCGTCTAAGGTTTTATAGGGCTGAATGGCGTTTTAAGGCGTTGCAAGGTTGTCTAATGCCGGCCCCAGGTTGAAAGCTTCCTCTAAGGGCCTTCATATTTACATCCCTTGAGGGCTTAGGGTTTGGGAAATAAGGTTTAGGGTTGAGGGGGGTCTACACTGCGGTTGGGAGGAACAACAACGGATGCTGGAAGCTGAAGGACCCCGAATGGAGTTGAGGGATACTATTGTGTGTAACAGCATAACTGTTTAGGGACTATAAAGGCCTACAGGCGAAGCCTCCATCTTAAACCCGTCAGGCTTACACTGCGTCAGCTTCCTCGGGGGGCGCTTGGGGCCCAGGGGCCTTGAGGGTTCGGCTGCCCATGCTTGCTGTTGCCATGTTCACTATGGCCATAGCTACTATGATCTAAATTTTGCAACCTGTGCTACTGCCATGCAGTAGCTGTCACTATCGCTATCAATGTTCGTCTTCTTCTGATGCCGATGCTTCTCGCCGGACGGAGTCGCACCTTCAACCCTAAACCCTAAACCCTAAACCTTAAACCCTAAACCCTAAACCCCAAACGCCGGACGGAATCGGACTTTTCGTTCAGGCTCCGGCGCCTCTGAGCTGAAGCCTTCGGCAGTTCGCCTGCTTTGAGCTCCGTGATGCCCAGCAGGCTTTGGTCGAGGGTTTAGGGTTTAGGGTTTAAGGTTTAGGGGTTTAAGGTTTAGGGTTTAGGGTTCAGGGTTCAGGGCCTCCTGCGTTACCGGGAGATCCCGCCGCGGAGTCAAGTTTGGCTCTTCCTGGCTTTTTGCTTTGCTGCATGAGTGTGGGTCCATACCAAGTGCCCAAGCCATGACAAATTAAACACGCGTGCTTGAGCTTGTAATCCTTTTCGGCTGGCAGTTGAGATCCTATGATCCTACAGCCTGAAACCCTTGAGGATGACGGATCTCGGATCAAGACCACCCGAAACCCCTAGGAGTAATCAGTGTGCAATAGTCTGACTCTCTCCCCCCGTAACGACCAAGCTAAAGCTTTTCAAAAAGAGCCTTACTCTAGGCCTTCAACCAAAGCCAGGATGCTAAAAGCCTGAATGTACTCAAGAGATATAAAGGACCCCAGAAAATTTGTAAAGTGTCAGCAGACCATCACATGGCACGTGGAGCCTTTCGATTGCTAAGAGGCTGGGATCTCCTGGACGCCCGGGCTTTGGGCACCCGAGGATGCTCTCCGAATCGCTTTGTGGACTCGAAGAGGCACCCTGGGCTTCTAGCACCAGACTGCTCTAGTCGAATATAGGGGCCTGAACACCTAGAAGAAGGTTGTTGGTGTGGACTTACAATGAAGAACCCTAAGGAGGAAGATTGGCAGGGATTTCAAGGGGTCCCTTCTTACAGAGTAACTAGAATGCTACTATACGGGTTCTATCATGTAGGGGCCTTGACAAACGGTTAGGGTTTTGGGGTATGGTGTATATCATAAGGAGCCCTAAGGAATTGTATTGGTAATTTCTCCGGCCCCTAACTTAGTCCTCTGTCGGCCCCTGGTCACGCAAAGCCCGACGGTGCAGGCGTTGCAAGTAGGCCATGCTCACCGAGACCATCTCCTTGTCCTTGAGGCTTTAGGATGTTCGGTTCAGGGTCCAGGGTTTAGGGTGGGTCATCTCCAGGTCCTTCAGGGACTAGGATTTACGGATTATGGTTTAGGGTTTCGGGTGTACGGTTTCGGGCTTGAATAACTCTAAGGCCCGGGAAGTTAGTGTCTATTTCAGGTTTAGGGAGTAGGGCTTAGTTCGGGAGTGATACAGGATTTTGGGACGTTACGTTGTCTGCCTTCGTTGAAATCTCTTTTCCGTTCCGCCTCGGTTGGCATGACCCACAAACCTGTCCCATGCTTTGGCTTAGACCATGGACCCCACCCTTAAAGGCTGTAGGGTTCGGGTTTAGGGTTTAGGGTTTAGGATTTAGGGTTTAGGGTTTAGGTTTAGGGCTTTAGGGTATTAGTGTTCCGGAATTGGCCTTTGAAAAAGACAGCTACACACCTGCGCCCGTCCATCCATTCACACATGCTTGCATGCATGCATACATGCATCGTTGCACACATAAATACAGATGAATATGATGTATCTTTGCAGACCCTGGTCCCGCCTGTTTCGTCGAACTGCTAGAAGGGAATGTGGCTTCATCCCCCATGTTTCCGGAGCTCCAACTACCTCAACCGCGACAAGCCTCCCAGCTTAAGCCCTAAACTCTCTAGAGCCTAAGCCCCCTAAACCCTGGCAAACATTCCCAGACCTTAACCCCTGAACCCTAAACCCTAAACTCTAAACCCAAATCCGAGACTTTCAACCCTTAACCCTAAAACCCCTAAACTCTGAACCCTAAACCCTAAAACCCTAAACTCTACAACCCAAACCCTAGACTCTGAACCCTAAACCCTAAACTCTAAACCCCAAACCCTAAACTCTGAACCCTAAACCCTAAAACCCTAAACCCCCCCATGGGCTCCCAGGCCGTCCTCGGCCCGCTGCTTCGGCACCGGCGGGAAAGCGGAGTCCTCTATCCTGGGTTCATGCAGGTCACCCTACAAAGGGATACCCTACGCCTTAGGGTTTTGGGTTTAGGGTTTAGGGTTTAGGGATTAAATATAATAGAGATCCCGCAATAAGGAAACCCTATGGGTTTACATAGCTCCCTGCTACCTTATAAAGGAAACCCTTCTAGTTTCTACGTAGATCCCTATAAACCCTTATTGTGGCAACGGAAAATATAGAAGTTCCCTAACAAGAGCCCAGTATCCGCAGGTCCTCGTCGCTGTGGGGACGCTGCCAGGAGGGGAGCTGGGTGTGGAACTCTTCGACGAAGCTCCGCTCAAAGTCATTGCTGGGATCTACCTGGGCTGGCGAAGAACACATAACACAGTGAACACAGCATGCTCCTGATTAGTCTCCTTGAGAAGCCACGACTTTCTACTAAAAAACGGGGGTTCTTTGTCCGAGGTTAGGCCCAGGCACCTTCTCCGGAGCTTCCGTGGGGCTTTGCCACTGCAGCTCCAGATCACAGAGGCTGAAGACGCGCACGCCCAGCAAGAAGCCGGGCTTGCACTGCGGATGGTAGTTGATGCTGATTGTCCAGTCGCCGCCGCTGAGCTCGTACTCATTGTGCACGTTCGGGGACAGGAAAAGTCTTTTTCCATTCTTCGAGGGGCATAGCACCGGCTCGACCTCGACTTTTCCGTCGGGCGGAAAGGCTTGCAGCATCATGTACGCCGGCGACTCCTCATCCGCACATGTGGTCACCATGATTTTCACCGGATGTCGGGGCTGGGAAGCCTCTGACTCGGAAGATGATCCGTCTTTCAGCTGCAGCTTCAGCTTTGAGGCCTTCGTGTCCTGAACCCGTAGCAGTTTCGAGGATGCCACGCGCCACTCGTTGCTGCAGCGGACCGGCTGCATCTCCAGCTCGCAGTCAGACAGCACCAAGAGCCGGAATGACTGGAATTCCGCCTTGTCCTGCAACTGCTTCTGTGTGTGACCCCAGCATCGACCTATCACCAGACTGTGGGTGCTGCAGGGAGGAAGCTGTGCTCCCAAGGCCACCCACTCGTTGGAGCTTTTCCGGTTCTTGGCTACAGCTGTGCCTCCACCCACGTAGCGTTGAATCGGGTGCTTGCCAGTCTCGAAAAGCTGTATGTCAAGCAAGGGGTACGAAGCAGCTGGGCAGGATGCGTCGAGATTCTCCTCATCGTCTTCCTCGTGCCATTTATGCTTGTTCACATGCTGCGTATCCTTCGAAGTGAAGGAGAGGATGAAGCAGACGCTGGCCGGGGAGGTTGCCGCGTTTGTGAGGATCAGCTGCGGGAAAACTTGCTGCAGATCCATCATGGCTTGAGCAGATCCTGGTATCGAGCTGCGCCATTGCCCTGCAAAGCTGCGCCTCTGCCAACCTTCTGTGGAAAGAGGCACGAGCTCGAGCTGCGCATCCGCACAAACGCTGACCACGTATCGCTTCTCTTGCAGAGCAGTTCCCATAGACAGCATGAGTATGTGAGAATCGTCAGTGTCCAGCTCCTCGACGTGCTGTGCCGTAACATCTTCGGACATGAACGGAGCAGCGCTTTGTAAACCTTGCCAGAAGAGCCTGGGTCCCAAGCATTTCTGGGAACCAAGCTTTTTAAAACACCTAGGTCGCGATAGCACACGTTCCCTCATACTTATGAAGAAATTCCCAGCCCAGAACGCCACTGACTGCAACTCAAACATGAAGTCAGACATGCTACGCGGTCAACCCTTCAACCCGTTCCTTGAACTCAGAACAAACACCAAAAGCCCGGGTGTAGGGCTTAGCGCCTAGGCCTTAGGGCTTAAGCGAAACCCGGGTGTAGGGGTTTAGCGCTGAGGATCTCAAGTTTAAATGAAACCCGGATGTAGGGTTTAGCGCTAAGGATTTAGGGTTTAGATCCCTCAACCACCCACAACATCTTCAAAACCCATCCAACACCCAGCGCCCGGCAACGGTGAGTTGAAGCCTCGGTCAACCAGGTCCTCCAAGAACTTGGCCTTTTCGAGGGGTGCAGTTGCTGTCTTCTCTCTCCCACAGTATATAAGAGTTTAGGAGTGCTCTGTGTCTGCCCGAAATCCTGCCTGCTTGCGTGTTTTTTGACATACACACCCATAGTATACTGTTGGCAGACACATACAACATATATGCTTATCTAGATACAGACAGAGATACAAGTAGATACAATCTAGAAACAGATAAAGATATAGATATGCAGA